TAAAATTACAGTTATCATCTAATGAGGTAAGCAGAGCCACAGAGCCAGTGTCCCCTCAGAGACACCAGGGCATGAGAAGTCACAATATATTACCATAAGATAGAGTATGATGTGAATTAGAGTCAGAGTGCTCTAAGGTACCCAGTATTGCTGTGAATAGTCCAGTCTTGATCATACATGAAAAGGAGAAATGGCTCTCATGCCTCTGAAGAAGGGTATTGTTCTCAGGACATGGAGGCTGCTATGTTAACTGGGACATTTGGTCACTTGCTTTAGGCTAAGGAAAAATTTGGCAAAGAGAAAGACAGCTCTGTCTTTAGTACTTGTTGCTTCAGTAAAGAATATGGTAGCTTCATCGAGCTTCTTTTTTGTAAAAATCTCAACAGCTTCATGTGTTCAAGACTCTTGAGAGCGTGGTTTCTTGGTGCTAGAAGGGATAGAGGTTCTTGGCATAACAGAGATGGAACTGGGTTTTTATTTGAGTTCTAGAAACCCTTAGCATCAACTGGTTCTGCCCTTGTAAGGAATCATCACTACTGCTGATTTTACAGTTCATGGAGAGACCTCTAGGACATGACCTGATCGAGGAAACAAAATGTCCCAATATAGGGGACTAAAAACAGTACTTAAACAGAAATTATTAAATGTTAAATGAAAAACCAAAGGAGGAACTATAATTACCCAAACTTTCCAATACCCCAGTTTGGCATTCAGTAGTCAGTAAAGAGCTGGTCTAATCCACAGCTTGTTTTCATGGAGAATAGAGATCCTAGAACATCCTTAGGTAAAATTCCATTACTGAGAAGGAAGTGACAAAAGGGATAGTTGGGTCAGTGCACAGTTCTACTGGACAAGAAAACAGCAAAGAATGTGACTAGTCACAGCCCAGCCCCAGGGGTTTTATTTCTCTGGTGATAACTATGAAAATGTTTTTCCTAGCATGTGACTTAAGGAAAGGCAGCTTTTGATCCCATTCTACATATTATTTGGACTACAAGAAAGTAGTAACAGCAAGGAGTACCAAAATAAAATCTAAATTTTTTTACAGAGCAATGGCTCAACTACCCAGTCAGCTATTACAAAGTGACCAGAACACCAAAAAAGAAAAAGCCATCTGTAGAATTGTATGGCTGCAGAACTATGAGTCACTCTTCAAGTGAATGCTGAATGTCTTCAACAAGGCACTCTTGAAATCAGATTAGGACCTTCTTTCTTCCTCAGTTGGAAGAGGAAGGAGAGAGAGGGGGAGGGAGGGACTAAGAGCAGTGAGCTGACTCATTTTACTGTCAGTCTGGGGCACGGGATTTCAAACCATAGGTAGCAGAACCCCAGGTTGTGCCTTAAGGAGTATGGGGAGTGTGGGGAAGCCAAGAAGAAGAGTAAAAGAGCTACAGGTCTTGCTCTCTGTTTCAATAAGAATAATTTTTCTTTTATCTATTTCATTTATTTGAGAAGGAAGTTTACATTTTTTTTAAGAAGAGTCAGAAAACCACTGCCCTAGAGGAAACTACTAAAACCAACAGTGCTCAGTCCTACAGAGAGCTCTAGGAGAGAATCTTTGAGATGGTCGCTGGATAGGCAGTTGACATTCCACAGCTTGGGCCCCACAGCAGGAACACTGCATAGAATTAACTAAACTGCTAGACCAGTGTCTCTCTAGTGGTCTCCACTTCTCCATACCAGGAAATGCACATGTCTGAAGAGAGGGCATGTCCTTCCCAAGGGTTACAGCTACAACTAGGAAGAGAACAGGCACAGAAACAAAACAGAACAGTTACAGCTGCAACTAGGAAGAGAAAGTGGATGGAGTAAGTCTGCCAAGCAGATATGTAGGCTGCTCTAGAGTGAATGCCTTCTGGACTTCTCTGCTACACTGGGCATGATCTCTGTACTGGGCACCTGGCCAGGGGGCTGCAGAATGGATGGCAGTGAACAGAAGGTCATTGGGAAGGGAAAAGATACTCATGTGTGGGGCAGTGCAGTACAAGGTTACATTGCTGTAACCTGGTCTAAAGCAAAGTGAGGCTGTCCACCTATCTGTCTCTACACTAGATCAATTCACAGAGTGCCAGAAGTAACTTGAGAAGGAAGAATCCAAGGAAGGCTGGTCACAATGATGAATGTCAAACTACTCACCAGAGAGAGAACCACAGGACACATTAAGTTCATAGGGCTTGTGTTCCCCACATCTGGAATTGCTGACTTCTGCCAATACCAGTGGAGAAATGAGACAAGGAAGGAGCAGATGGAAAAATCTGAGTGTCTAAACTGTTCCTGAGCTTCTAGCCACAGCACTAATGGCCAGGTTAAGATATCATTGCTTGCCTTTCTCCAGCCTCTCAATCCCTGTTCAGCCAATGAGCCTAAAAATGTATGCTGCACCCCAGGGAGCAATATACCTCAGCAGCACATGAGATCTGTTTTTCTTATTCTAAATGGAATAGCCACTCTACCACATACCTTTGACCACTCAAGTATCAGTGTATTAAGGTATCTTGTCATTAAACCTTCATGCCACATCTCTCTGTGTTTTGGTCAAATATCACCAGGTAAGTTATAAACTGCCCAGCTTCCTGCCCAGGGGCCCCAGACCAACTCAGGGGTACTAGACATCCCTTTTGCATGATCCTGGCCAGAATGGCTGCATCATTGAGCACTATACCTATGCAACTACCTCCCGCTATCAGAGCTGGTGTTCTTAGATCCAGAAACTAAGAGATAGAATTAATTTAGATGAAAGATCATATGTGGTTGTAGCTCTCATACATCTGCATCTGGAGACACTGCACACCAGATATAAGCCCACTATCTGGACAGATAAAGTTCTACAAGAAAAATGATGCTTGAAATGACTCTCCCTAAGTTAATAGACCTCTTTCCCCATCCCCAACTTTCCAACCTTTGCTTTAGAAACTCTCCATTCAAAATTTAGTCCCTCCCACTCTTTCCTTCAAGCCACTGGTCTAGGACATATTTATAAATATGAGGACAAAGCATTTCTCTTCCTCTCAACCTTAAACCTACATGGGGGTTGGGCCCCCAAGTTTAGGACCAAAAAAAGAATAGTGCAGTTGGTGAAGCCAACTATAGCTAGCTTACAGGTTTACTCTGTTCTCCAGGGTTTACATTCTAGAATTGAAGAGCTCACAGCTTTCTGGGATGACTGCTTTCTGTTTAGGTACCAGCCAGGTGCCATTAGTTCCCATTACCAAACAGTTGCAACTTGGGTCACACTTGTCTCTCTTTAATGCAGTTAGCAGGATGGGAAGGCCAGGGGCTGCAGTTGAAAGTCAAAGCCTAGTACAGGGTCATTAGTGACGTACAAACACCCAGTGACTCTCCAAGGCTTGCACTTAGCTTTCCCTCCATCCAGACTCTCCACACCATCTCAATGAGTTGGGTCAGCAGTGCAGGCCTTGGGGGAAGGGAGATCCACATAGGAAAGGGGAAAGGCTGCTGTCTCTGTGGTGACTTAGGCTGGAACTCCCTTTGGGAAATGTTGATAGATACAGGGCAGAAGGAGTCAGCCAGCCAACTGTAGGGAGGGGATCTCTATACCAGGGGAAGCTCCTTTAGCATGATGGAGACAGGATGGGGGGAGGAGGTCAGGCAAGATGGAGTGATTATCTCTGTAGTACCCTGGCTCTTGCCTGCTTTCTTGCAAGGAAATTTTCTATATCCTCCTCCCCAGTTTCGATCCCTCCCCTTTCCACCCCCTGCCCCGCCCTGTGCCCATCCCTCTCGGCCACTGGGTCCATCACTAGGAGCCTCCTCCCTTTTCTCCTCCCCTGCGGTTCTTTTTGTTTTTAGCTGGCATCTGGCCGGGCATAGCTACCACCCTCCTCCTCATTCTCCCCAGATCCCTTTGCTCTGCAGAGGTCCCAGTCCCTCTCCCCCCTCCCCCACTCTTTGCCCAGCTCTGACTGGGCTGGTGACTGGAAGATGCATTCCTTTAGTCCCTTCACAGCCTGCCTTCCCTCCTCTGTAACCCTAGGCTCTGAGCTCTGGCTGCTTTCCTGGTCCCCTTATAAACGGCCCCTGACTACCCCATTTGCCATCAACAGCCTTTAAGAAAGCTGAGGTGCCCACACAACGCTGACCTACATAGCTGGGTCCAGGGCTCTGGGAGGGGCTCTTCCCCAAGTCCCCTCAGCCCTGGCCCCGCCTCCTTTCTCCCGGCACTCTTCCTTCATCTCCCTATCATTACAAACCAAAGAAGGTTTGGGGTTGAGGCATGCTACCCCACCTTAAATTTGGGAAAATCAATGGTTAGCCCAGGAAAGCTTTGGGTTTTCCATGCATCCCCCCTCCGGAATATCTTGATCCTTCCTTTTGCCTAACCAAACCCCACCTCCTCCGCTCCTGTCTGGGTTTCTTCTCCCAGCTTCTGCCGCGGCTAGTGATATTGCCATCCCAGGGCCCAATCCGCCCTGTGTTGTTGTTTTGCTCCTTGCCCACGCCCCCCTCAACAGCCTCACTCGGGCCCCCTTCCCTAGCCGCGCAGAGCTCCGCCACGGGTGGGGAGCAGAAATGTTTGCATATAGCAGTTTGGGGGATTGCACTGGCCACCCAACCCTCCAGACATACATACACAAACAACTAACACACGCCCTGACTGTCTCACTCCGCCCCCAACACACACTGACACAGACACACACACAGATACTGACACGGGAACGCAGAACCAGACACCAACAGAGACGCGCACACCCAGACACTTGGACATCAACACATCCAAACCCCTGGCTCCTTTGACCGACCACAGCCCCGGTGCACACACAGACACGCTCGACGGTGTACAAGGAGAGTGCATACCCGGCACACCCAAGACCCACAGAGGCACCGATGCTCAGATATACACAGGGGTACTAGCCTCGGCTGGCGACTTGAACCCCAGGTTCCAAACAAAGCCAACAGACTCCCTCCGCCCCCGGTGCCTCTCGGAAACCCCGGCCCGGCGGCTGCCCACCTCCCCTGGCGCCGTCTCGTCCCTCACTCACCGTCCTGGGAGAGGTTGGCCCAGCAGGGCGCCCAGCAGCAGGCAAAGAGCAGGAGCAGAGGCAGGGCTGAAGGGGCCCCCATAGCGCTTCCCGGCGGGCTCCCTGCTGGGCGCGGGCGAGCCTGAGTCCCCGGGGGCTGAGGCTGGGGACCGGGGAGACAACGACGTTAACTGAAAGGGCGCCCCGGAGCCGCTTGAACCCCGGGGCCGAGGCGGGGACCGGGAGGGAGCCGGCGCTGCTGCAGTCGCGGGGATTAAATAGGACGCTCGGAGCAAACCATTCGGTTGGAGGTGGAGGGGGATGACGGGGGGCTGGACTGGTCGCGGGGGGGGCCAGTCTGCCGCATTCCTCACTGCCACTGCCCCCCCACGACCCCTCCGCGCCATCGTGGTGCCTTCCACCCTCTCCCCTGGGAGTTCCGCCACCCCGGCTTGGGTGTGGAGCTGAGGGAGGGAGCTGGCTCAGCAGCGGGACCAGGCGCGCACCCCTCTTAGGTTTGGGGTGGAGGGAGGGAGTTGGGCATGGCTCTGGGCCAGCTGGCGAGAGCGGCCACTGCAGGCCTGGACAAGGGTGTGCCCACTAGCCCGAGGTCCTCCAGCCCCGCCCTCCTCCCTTTGGCAACTGAGATCCCCAAGAGCCCTGGGGGTCCCGTATCAACAAGGTGCACAGGGGCATCTTCCCACTGAGTAACCAGTTACTTTGACCATTCTCCCAAATACTAACATCCCTAGTTCCTCTAACCAAAGGGCCCTTAGCTATCTCCGCAGCAACAATTTGTGGCCCCAGGCGATTTCCCTTGACAGGCATCTTTCAGCAATCCCACAGGTCACGAGATTTAACATGTTTCTCAATCCCTTGTCACAGAAATTACCACACTCCCCCAAAGCAGTGATTTTCCTTCAGACTCTCGCCCAAGGAAGTGGCCTACAAAACAACTCGGTAGTCTCTCCTTAATCTTTCCCATGCTTTTCCTTTCCTCCCAGGCCTTTCCTTCAATATTTTTTCTTCATCTTTCAGAAGATCTGGTTTTCTCTTCTCAAGTTTTAGTAAGATTCCTGAGTGAATGGTCTGAAATGTAGGCTCTCAGGAAGCTCCCTCTTTAAGGACCAGTGCATCTGCGACTAATGCAGTTCTTGTCCCTGAGGCCAGATGTAGTGTGGGTGAGAGAGGCAGGTGTCTATACTTGCTCTTGGCTAAAGAGTTACTAGTTCCTGGGGTTGCTGTTCTTTGTGCTTGAGTATCTCTGGAAGAGCTTTGGTACATTTCAGAAAGGGATAATTCTGAGTCAATTTGCTCAAATTTAGCTTTTGGGAATCAAGTTCTAAATTTTATAATCCGAATCAAATACTTTTACACTTAGATGTATTTTTAAAAATATTTGGTCCACCCCCTTATTATTCATGTGTAACTTAGGTCCAAAGGGTATTAACTGACCTACGCTGTTAATAGTAGAAAAGACAAGTATTTATTAGAACATGGAACAGTATAATTTTCAAAGTGCCTTCTCTTTCTATGAGGCCATATTTTGTCTTTAGAGGAGGGATTTGGGTCCATGTCTTTCAACTCCTGGACCAGTCTCCTGGGCTAAGGACTGGGCCTCAGCCTGGTGATTCTTAATGTTTTGGTTGTCTTTTTCCCCTCTCAGACAAATCAAGAGTAAGGATTTGGGAAGTACTTTGTAGTCAGTAAAGTTCTATATAAATGCTGGTCACTAATGGAGAGGCCCAGAGAATATTCTCCAGGGACGTACTTCAGGATGGTCAGATGCTGCCCCACTGTTTTTCCCTCCCTGTTTCTAGAGCTTATCTAAGGTTTCTGGGAGAAGAGTTCTGTCTGCCATTTGAACATTTCCTGAATGTCTGAGTAGTTGTTAAGAATTATTGGCAGGGTAGTGCTTGACCACCTTGGGTGGCCTCACTTGCCTGCCTTGATCCTTCTCAGTGACTCCAAACCATTCCTCTTCCCTAGGTTCTCTGGCATCTTGGAAACTCTACGAGGCAAGCATCGATGGAATAGTGTGGTTGAGGAATGTAGAGACCTGGGTGTAAGAGAGAAGAGAGGATGGTCTATGGGGTGGAGGAGGGGGAGATAGTGGGAACACTAGACTGTCTGACAGAAGTGGGGCCACGTGGGCATGAGTTTAGTCATGTAGAGGGAAGCAAGCAGCAGGTGTGTTTTCAAAAACAGAATGAGATTTCAGAGGGAAGGATCAGGCTATCCTAGTTCAAGGATCTTGATGGATAAAGAATATTATACCTGGAGTAGAAGAAACCTTAGAGATCATGTAAGTGAGCATAATAGATGACAGGTTAGCGTGTATGTGTTTGTGTGGCGGGGGTAAGAGTGGGATGGGGATGGCAGGATGTGGGATTAGGTTCCAAGTACCTTTAACTAATGGTCTTTTGCATCTGCTGCTGTGCTGTGGTCCTCTTCTGCCTGTTCTTTCATAATTCTCTAATGACTCTGCAGGTCCAGCCCTGCCCTGTACTGGAACTGCCTGGAAGGAGAATCCAGTGTGGGAGGAGAGGAGGAGAGTTGTTTTGGAGAGAGAGTATTAAGAACAAGCAATTGAGACTCTGGAATGCTCTTTTCATCCTGGCTCTCTTTCCCTTTTCTGCATCATCAGCATCAGCTTGGCAGTACTTTAGGTCCTGGGAATTGGAAGCAGTCATTGGCTTTTAGAATCATAGAATAAAAGAGTATTAGAGTTGTAAGGGACCTTCAAGATTACCTAATTAATACCCCTTGTTGAACAGATGATGAAAATAAAACTCTGAGAAGTTAAGTGACTTTCTGTGTTAACATAATGTATAATAAAGGGTTACCAGTGTTGGACAGGGTAGACACATACCACCCCCAATGGCAGGAGGAATAATAAAAACGATCCCAATACTCCCCACCCAGCAGTGTACAATTTAAGGAAGTCCTCACTCCTGCATAGCTCAGAGTTGAAGGATAGTTTCTTCTACAGACTTGGATGTCTACATTGGAACAATTCCTTATCTGTAATCATTCAGCACCCAGCATGTTACAGGCACCCTATTCACTAGGAATAGAGTTTTATAAAGAAGGCTGACCTATAGCCCAGCCAGTTTGGCTCAGTGGTTGAGTGTCGACACATGCACCAAGAGGTCGCCAGTTCAATTCCCAGTCAGGGCACTTGCCCAGGTTGTGGACCCAATCCCCAGTGGGGGTGGGGGGGCATGCAAAAGGTGGCCAATCGATGTTCTCGCTCATCTCTCATTGATGTTTCTATCTCTTTCTCCCTCTTCCTTTCTCTCTCTCTCTCTAAAAAAAATAAAGAAAAAATATTTTTTTTAAAAAGAAGACTGACCTACAAAGATTATCCTCATCACAAAAGTAAGTAAAATAAAAGTATCCATGTTGGACTGTGATCTCTATGGTTACTTACCACTCTAAAATGCTATGGCATAGAATGTGTGTTTCCCAGAGATTTATGCAAAGTGTGGAGTAGGTTGTCTGTGTGATTAAAGAACTGGTAGTCACAGTGAAAATTGGGGGTGGGGAGTGGGTAGAGAAGGGGAGTGGAGGGAAGCAGGTTTTGGCGCCTGAATGCCCCTGTTCACTCAGCGACAGCCTGGGTCACTGGGGGTGTGGAATGTGAAGCTGGCACCAGTGCTGGGCTCACCACAGCTGTGTGGGCCCTGGGCATTCCTTTCCCCACGCTGCTTCTGTGGAGGGAGGGGAGGGGACTCAGCCTGAGTGGGGTGAGTTCTACATATTCATCTGGGAGGGAGATGACAGCACCTGTAGGAAGAATAACTCGGAAGACTTGGCTCAGCTCTGCTTGGCACTCTAACCCTTCTCTGTATGACTTTTTCTACATAGATTTTCACATTGTTTTCCTCTTTAATTTTCCACTCAACTAAACCAGTCTTATTCTGCTTCTTACTTCAGCTATCCAGTTTTAATTAACCCCATCCTTAATAATAAGCTCTGTATGTGTTTTAATTCTAACCTTAATTGAATTCTAATTTCAGTCCAAACCTTAATCTATCACAGACTCTAACTACTAATCCTAATACCAAACCCAATTTAATTGTCAATTTTTACCAGTGTCTTACTTCTAACCTGTTATAAACCAGCAACTAGGACAGCAACTTGCACATAATAAATATGATTACAGGTAGCATTTATTGAGAACCCGTTGTGTGCCAACTTTGCACTGGGTACTTTACATAAGCTCTATCTCATTTAGGACCCCGACAGTACCATACTGTGGTTTGCATTATTAGCTGCCTTACAAATACAAAGGTTTAACTAGATTATGTAATTTGTAAGTACTAGATCCAAATCCACTATTTTATTTCTACTTGACCAGAAAGCCTGTGCTCATTCCTTTTTCTTCCAACAAATACTTGTTGATCAACCTCTTTCTAAAATCCTAACTAATTCTAACTGGAATGATTTCTAACATACCGAGTTTCGCAAAAGGATATTATTAGATTTTTTAAAAATAAGTAGTAATACAAAATAGAAACCAACCAACTAAACAAGCAAACAAACAAATAAACACAAAAGCCCAAATTTTCTTGTCCAGAAACCCCATGGACACTTTAAAACATTAAAGTAATGTTTTTATAAAGTTAAAACAATCAAACTGGAAAGGAACAAACTGAAAGTAAAAGCTTCCTTCTCCTTCCCAGACTGCCATTCTGCATACCCCCGGGGCATCACTCCAGTTGGAGTTGTGCAGTGCAGTAGCCCTGTCTCCCACAGTATCAGAAGGCAGATAAAGTCAAGTTAAACACCAGTGGAATCACCTATGTATGTATATGACTCAGACATGAAGACCACTGGACAATTTGAATTTATGACCCACAATAAGTATTAGAGGCCAAGGTTCTCTATACTAAGCTCTTTACATGTATTATACTTTTTAATATTCACAAGCTCTTTGTGCAGTTTACTCTTATTTTATACATGAGGACAGCAGGGCCTGGAGAAGCCAAGTTACTGGCACAAGGGCACAAAGATGGTGAATGGGAGACCCAGGTTTCAAATACAGATTTGCCTTACTCCAAAGCCTAAATTTTTAACCAGTAGACTTAGCTAAAAAGGCTTGTGAGAGGACAGGTTATTTGATTTTGCTTCTGAAGGAGAGAGAGGAAGAAGAATTACCTGTGAGACTGGACTCGGGTCAATGTGGGCGGAAACACTGCATGGGGCAAGGGAGCAAGAGACCTAGAATGCAGAGAGAACTGAGGAAGAGGCAAGAGAGCAATCAGGGAAAAGAACAGGTGTGCGTGGAGACCAGGAATAGTTTTATGATAAATTCAGAAAAAAAATAATAAAGCATGTTGTAATATGAATGCCACTATTTGCTTCAATTTCAGGCTGATGGATATATTTTGAAAAGACAGTAGACACACATAATCATCTTCAAACAAAAGTACACATTTTCAGCTATATGTATCTGTATCTGTAGCCTCTCCAACTAATCACCTCTGCATTTCTGCACTTTCATTTCTGTGCTCCAGCAATATCAAATGACTTGTAATTTCCCAAACACACTATGTTGTTTCATGCCTCAGTGTCTTTGCATATACTGTTTCCTATACCTGGACTGCCCATCTCATTAAGCCTGATAAAACTTGTGCTTGTGTTTATCCATCCAAACATTGATAAAGTGTCACCACCTCTGTGAAGCCTTCTACCCAGAGGTAATCACTCCTTGCTAGGTGCCACCCTTATGTTGAATATATACTTCTACTGTTATACTTCTTTCACTGTGTTGCAATGATTAGTCTATGCGTTTTTCTTCTCTAACTGTGAGCTCTTTGAGGGCAGGAACAATACTTTGTGACTCTTGTTATTCCTGCTTAGTGTAGAAATGGAAAAACAATAGATTCTTGCTTAATTCTAGTAAATTAAGCTGAAATAACATATTTATAAACACACAGGCTTCAAAAACCATTTTTTTTTCAGAAGCACATATGACTACATTTCATTGGTATACCCCTATAGGTATGTATATGTTCTTATAGATATAATGTATACAAAATAATGTGAATTATTCTAATATACATGTATACATATTTTCATCTACTTATTCAAGGAACATTTTGTAATGCTTGGGATTTCCTTTAGAGCCTGCTACATCCTCTTGCATGTCATCAGGTGTGGAAAATTCTCATCTTTTGAGATTGGCTTTCAATTTTCAAAATAGCCAAATGTCTTTTGAACAAAAACAAGATTTGGTTGTAAAGTAGTAAGAAATGGCTTATAAGTTGACTAATATGTTGGTTCTTAAGGCAGTTCTCAAAAAGTAGTTCTAGAAATTTCTGAACAATGTCATTCTGGTCTATTTGTTAATACAAACAAAATCAAACAGGAGTTTTATTATTGTATAGTCTCAACTGGTAAACATATAAGAACACAAAAAGTCATGTGTTTTGTTGCAGTGTATAAAAAAAATGACAAATTTTCAGGTTTAATTTTTTTTATTACAAAATAAAATGATTAGTGGATGCTCTTATTCATTCCCAATTCCCACCCATTTTTGAGCCTCATTTTATCTGTGAGAAATAATGCAAGGATCAAGGATAGGTTAATATTTAGGGGTGCAAAATACTTGATGATTAAAACCAATCGAATAGTAATGGTTTGCTTTTTAGAATCATAAAATAGAAGCAGATATTTTTTTAAAAGATGGTAGGCTCTTGAGAATACAAAGGTGAGTCAATAAGTCATGAAACGTACCTTTAAGGAACCCCTAGTTCAGCAGGGACAATAAGCAAACGCATAATTATCACACCATGTGATAAATGCTGCAGAACACTGTTAATAAGTTACTGCAGAATTAAAGAATAGGCAGAGATTAAATTTGTAGAAGACTTTAAGGAGTGACTAAAAGTTGACCAGGTGTAAAAGGATGAAAGGCGTTACAAAAGAGGGAACAACATACGCAAAAGCAGAAAACAATATAGTTAGTGTGGCTAGACTGTGAAGGGAATTTATGCAAGAGATTTCTCTTTATTCTGCAGATAAGGAGTCACTGAAGGGTCTTAAGCAGGGAAATGTCAGTGCCAGATTTGCATTTCAGAGCGATAACTCTGGCAGTGGTGGATGGATAGACTGGAGGATACATATCATTTGATTAAGAAGCCTGACCCTTCTGGAGACCACAAATCTACTAACATAACATTGCATAGGACCCACGGAGTGTGGTCTTGTCTGAACCGATGGGTAAGGGGGATATAACACCTAAAACACTATTGTAGAACTCAGACATCAATACCAAGTGTGACCAATGGGGTGGAGCACACAGATGCAGACAGTAGTGCAAAGCAACATAAAGTTGCATGGGGTTAGGTGTTGGGGTCAATGACCGGCTTCCCTGGCTTGCCAGAGACTGAGGCACTTTCCAGGACTGTCAGTGCTCACATTGGGAAAGTCCCTGAAAAGCTGGATGGATGGCCACCGTCGGCAGTGTCTGGCAGGAACAGCCTGCACTCAGTGGCAATTGTTACTCAGACCTTCTCCCTGGCAACCAGCAGGGGATCATCTCCAGGGAAGACTGAAGGGGGAGGAAAACTGAGTGAGTTACTTAATGTTTCAGAGGAAGGTAGAAGTGGGAAGGGGTAGGGGCTGGTGATGAGTCAGAAAAGCTAGGCCAGTTGAGAGGGAGGTAAGAGAAGAAAGGCGAAGTAGGAGCGAGGGGGTGGAGGTTGGTGTCTAGTCCAGGATCCTGGGCTCTCTGCTGATGTTAAGGGACAGTACAGACTCAGAACAGCAAGCATTTCAAAGAGTGATTATACATGTTTAGATTTTTATTCATGCATAGGTTTCATATATTCATTTACCATTAATGGAGGGCCTCCTGTGTGTCTGGCACTTCACACATGCTCTATCACTTAGTTTTCAAGCAGAGCACTATGATTTGTAGATAAGATAATTCCCATTTTACAGATGATGAAAATGAGGCTCAGGAAATGTGGTAACTTCTTATGAGTCATATATTAACTGCTGGAGCCGAGATCTTAATTTAGGTGTGTCTCCAAAGTTCTTGGCCATTCCCGCAAACCAGTATATCCATCTGTGTCCAAACATAAGAGTTACATGGAGCACCTGTTAAAAATAATACAGGTACCGAGGAGATCCTGGTTTTGAAGGTTAATGACAAAGATCCCCAGACTTTTAACAAGTGCTCCCGGATGACCCCTTGGCCCTGACAATCCTGCAAAACAGCACACCACAGCCTGTATCTCCTCACAAAGCTCACTGACTCCCGAAAGAACCCTATGTGTAAATCGTCCATTAGAACACAGTTGTATCAAGTTTGAAAACCAAAATGTGTCACTGAGTCTTTCAACAAATTATTTCCTTGACTATTCCTA